AACAACAACAACAACAACAACAACAACAACAACAACAACAACAACAACAACAACAACAACAACAACAACAACAACAACAAATCTGTAAAAATCGGTTTCTCGTGCAAGTATCGGCCAATTTCCGATTTCCCAAAATTAAGGAAATCGGGGACGATTTATCGGTGCACTCCTAATTTAAGGTTGACAAACAATTACCCTTTTCAGACACAAGCCACAGTCCATGGAGCCAACAGCGTGTCTTGTTACGCTCCAACTAAGTTAGATCAAATGACTAAGATTTCAACACAGCACATCAAAAAGTTAGGCATGTGTCCCATCTTGCCTTTCAGAAAAAATAATTTATTATTTATATATATATATATACTACATATTGTAGTTTTTAATCTGACACATGATGTAATCAAAGTTTGGTAGCACAGACATCCTGGCGAGCAAAGGAAGCAATTTTATTCACCACAAGGTGCAATGGCGGAGCCAGGGGGTGGCCAATGGTGGCCTTGGACACCAAAAGATTAATCAGCTACCACACCAGCCACCCCATTCATTTGAGGGAACTATACCTTTAAGCAATGTAGAAACTAGAAAGCATAGTTTCCTCAAAGATACGAGTGGCAGGTTTACATGTAAATTATGGTGGCCATTTTTGAATTTTGAATTGGCAATCCCCATATTCAAAAGGAACCCGTCTTACACTTAGATGCAGTCACAAAGTTGGCCCGTTGATAAATTTTCAAAATTATTTTGCGTCCCCTCAATGCATCTGAACGGATCAAATCTACCAAAACCTTAGTGTTCGTCTAGAAGAGAACATCGCAGCAAACCCGAACCCTTTATCCCGCAGCGAGCAGCCACAAGCCGTGCAAAGCACTTCAGGATGGGTGACTTACAGCAAGGGGCTGACTGCTCACAGACAGCAAAGAAGCCCAAAGTGGCCCCTCACCCCCATAAGGACTGCACTAGAGGAAAAAGGAAACAAAACTGAGACTCAAGACTGCTCAGTTTGTTTTATGGTTTGAACCATGCTTACCCAAGAAGGCAACCAACTAAATAACAGTCAAGTCTTGTTCTTTGGTATCATAATGAGACAAGCCACTTTATCATATGCAACAAAGGCTGACACTTACGCCAAAGGAACATCCACCGAGGGCTCCAGGGGGTGGGACGCTGGACATAGAAGGACCCATGCCTGGTACTCCACTAGGGAACAAACCCAAAGCGTTGAGATTCAAGCCTGGAATGAGGTTGGACTGGAGCTGCCAAATGAAAAAAATCCAACATATTCATTAATACAAGAGTCATTTGTAATTGAACCAGCCAATATCAATGACCATAAATCACAGCGCAACATCACCTTGACTTTAGAGACCAATAAGAAAAAAAAAATGAATTGTGGTCCCATTGTGTGTATGTGCATGAAGATCTAAAATATTTAATGCTGCCGTTACTACAAAGTTGCTTTTTAAATTGGTTCCTTGCTACTTCACAGTTTGACTTTTGCGGACTCGCTCTTTCACAGTTTATCAAAGTAAGATTGTAAACAAAAATATAAATAAAAAAAAAATGGGATTGTACACGACACGATTGTCGACCTTTAATAATCACTCACGTGATTGGGACAGTACGGTATACTATAGAAAATTAACTATGAAAAAATACTTCGGACAGGCATTGCCATTTTGTAGTTTTCTCTCAATAAACCTACACTGCATGGCCAAAAGGACTATATTACCCAGAAGCCAACAGTGCACTACCCAGAAGCCCCAACAATGCTTCCAGCCGTTGCTTTCTACTGAAATGGAGAGAAAGTTTTGAGCCAATCCGAAAAAAATTAATCCCTTATTCATAGTGACTTCGGAGCTCAGTGGATGCAGAGAGCCGTACGGAACCAACCGGGAATTGGACCAGAACCGGACTTCCGGTCTCATCTGTCATTCCGAGTGCTGCTTGCCGGCCCATGAGGCCTCTTGAGGGGGGAGGTGTTGCTTTGAGGTGCTGTGTTTTCTCCGGAGCTCACTGGGACATTTTTCATCCAGATTTGGACTCTATGGGGACCATTGTGTGGTTTTGTGCTGGCTATCCGAAGGACCGGCTTTCTCGAAAAGCATCTTGGTGCTCAAGGGCTGCAGAGCGCCGATCAGAACTGGACCAAGGCTGGTTAGTACCCATATAAAATTTTGCAGTATGTAGCTACTGTGCAGTAAATATATGTATTAGGGCTGGGCGATATGGACCAGAATAAATCTCTCGATATTTTAAGATTCAATTCAAATTAAAAAATACTTTATTAATCCCAAAGGGAAATTATTTTTTGTCGTAACTCGTTATCCTCATTTCATTAAGATATGTTATAGATACTGATGGCTGTAGGCAGGAAGTATCTCTTGTAAAGGTCCATCCCACAGTGGATCCTAAGAAACTGGCTGCAGATGCCGTCTGATCTGTCCACCCAGACTCTGCTGGCCTCTCGGTTCCCCCGGGCAGAACTCCTCCCAGAGCGATGGCCACTCCTCCCAGCAATCTGCTGAGCTCCTCATTGCTGCGGACAGCCAAATGTAGGTGCCGAGGGACGATCCTGTCCTTACGATGTCATGAGCCGTGTTTCCCGCTAGTTCCAGGATCTCAGTGGTCAGGCACTTGAGCACAGCTGGCAGGTAGATGAGACTGCATCCACAGAACATCCTTTCAACTCATTTGAGATTTGGGGCTGTAGTTGAGATATTATTTGAGCTTTTGTGATGTTATGTCATTTTCACACCAGATAGTCCGGTAGACTCGGTTCGGGACCAATATTCATGACCTTTTGTTTACATTTGAGCTGGTGCGTTTGCATTCACACTGCACTGTGCAGTCGAGTCAACCTGTTGAGCGCTCGCCTGTTGGGGCGCTGCACCAAGAACTACTGGAAGAAATGACACAAAAACCTCTGAAGACGCATCTTCTTCTTCTGTAAATAAAAATAAAAACGAGGTGGCATCAAGTTTTAGCAGTTTTAGGAGTTATATTTTGTCATTTTTCAAAAATGGACTCAGCATGAGCAGAAGATGAGACAGAAGACCACGGAGAATATTCTGACGCATGCTCAATAATCCAGGTAGAAAAATCTAAAAAAGTGGAGAATATTGGATTTCCACACAAGGCAGCTGACGGCTCCATATAAAGATCAGAGAAATGTGTGTTTGTTTACCCTGCGGAGTGGGGCTCGGTCTGTTTACATTCACACTGTACTCGAACCGCGCTGGAGTTCGCTTCTACCGGACCGAGACCTAGGTTTTAGCCCAGGCCAGAGTTCGCCTTTTTGTTCCGTGACAGTGTTCGATGGTGCGTTCACACCTCCCTAAATGAACCGGACTTTCTAGGAAAACGAGCTAAGAGTTTGATTAAAGCGGACTAAACAGGGCTGGTGTGAATGCACCCTTAATCAGCTGCTGTTGGTTGCAGAAAACTGCCTTGTTGCCATGGTTACACATCATAACAAATGTCCAAAACTAAAAAAAGTTTCAGTAAAAATCCTTCCAGCTGCACAGCATCCGATACCAGAGGAAACAACCATAAAAAAAAATAAAGTGATTTACATCCAGAAAAAGAGGAATTAAAGTTTCCAAAAGCAAAATCTCAGAATGAAAGTAACAGAACTGCTTCAACATGCAGCCACCTTGAGCGGTGCAATTCTGGAACATGAAATAGAAAAAAAAGATCAATAGCGAAATACTAACTAACTAAAATACATACATATATACAATATATACACATATATACACACATCCACACATATATATACACATACATACACATTAGGGTTGTTATAGATAAACCGATACGACCGGATATCCGGTTTGACAAGCTAGCGATATGGTTGTGTCGGTAGCAGCCGTATAAATCGACAGCAACCAGCCACAAATGCTGAGATGAACCGGTTGAAGAGACATGAACCGGGTATCGCGAGACTAGCTCGGTTGACAGTGCGTTTATAAAACAACACGAGAGTCGGAAATGCCCGCGAAGCTATTCTCACGCATGCTCCGTAGCTCACCAAGACAACGAGAATGAATGTAAATAGTAGCAGCGTTAGCGGGTCACCGAGAAAGATTTTCAATACAACGTTTTCGGGTTTTACAAGAAGGATGGAAAACTCGACAAAAACCACTCTATTTGTAAGCTATGCAGAGCACCTCTGAAGTACACTGGTAGCACAACAAACCTTAATCAACATGCAACGAGAAAACACAGAGGGGAGTATGGCGAACTTCTCAAGCCCCATAACATCGAGCAGGAGCAGGCAGCTGCCACACAGAGAGCGACGGGTAACGTTATCACTAAATTTTACGGGCAACTCGGCGACAGTTCATCACGAGCTAAGGATATAACGGCATCAATAACCCGTTTCATAGCTAAGGGCTTATGGCCGTACAATATAGTGGAGGGGGAAGGATTTCATGATTTGATTCATACGTTAGAGCCCAGATATAAGATTCCGTCCCGGCAGCATATCACAAACACATGCATGCCAGCATTGTATGCCCAAGTGAAGAGCCAAGTTGAAAAAGAATTGGCACATGCAGAGCGAGTTGCTGTTACAACCGATGCCTGGACGTCATGCTCCACTGAGTCTTATGTGACCATCACTGTCCACTACATCTCTCCAGACTGGAAGTTAAATGTGCATGTGTTGCAAACCAGGGCATTCAAAGGATCCCACACTGGGAAAAACATTGGTGCTCTGCTAAAACAGGCATGTGTTGACTGGAACCTTCTTGATAAAGATCCAGCCCTGGTGACAGACAATGCCACAAACATGGTATTAGCTGGAGTGGAAGCAGAGATGACCCCTCACCTCATGTGCTTTGCACACACTATTAATCTCGCCACACAGAAAGCCTTTAAAGTTGACACAGTAGCAAGGTTGCTGGGGAGAGTGAGGAAAGCCGTTGCCTTTTTTCATGGTAGTGTGAGGGCAGCAGAAATCCTTCAAGAGAAACAGAAACAACTAGCCTTGCCTTCCCACAAACTCATCCAAGATGTATCTACACGGTGGAATAGCTCCCATGACAAGCTTGAACGCTTTTTTGAGCAACATCCTGCGATTTCTGCAGCACTCATGTCCAGGGACCTCAGAAAAGGAGAAGAGGTGAGTACTCTCAAGGACAAAGACTTCTGCGACATTGAAGACATTGTCAAACTGATGGCGCCGGTCAAACTTGTGACTACCAGCATGTCTGAAGACAAGCGACCCACACTCTCAATGATTCTTCCTGTAAAAGCAAAGCTTAAAAAGAACTTTGAACCATCAGATGAAGACTCAGTGTTAATCAGAGAGATGAAGCAGGCATTCAAGAATGACTTGGAGAAACGCTACACAGGCCTTGAAGATCTCTTCCACACTGCAGCAGCTCTGGACCCCAGTTTTAAGTCCCTGCCCTTCCTCAGTAACCATGATGCAGAGAGGACATTCACAAGCATATCAGCAGAAGCAGCATCCCTGCATCACAAGGTAAATCCCCCAACACACTGCCAAAATACATATTACAGTACATTCAGTTAGTCTGCTGTGTTTTGTTGCTGTCATTAGATTTATTCTGACTACTGTTTATTTGATTCTTTACACTGCATTTAACCATACTGTACACTAAATGTAATTTCATGTTTTATTTCTAGGTAACGGGGGCTTCAGTTCAGAGAGGTCCAGTGCAGACTGATCCATGTCAGAGTGAACCTGCAAATGGAGATCCGGTCGTCTGCATTGATGGACCCCAGACCCAAGATGAGCATAAAGGTTTGTGTGTTTTATAACTTGTGATCAAGAACGAGAAGACTTTGTCTTAAACTTGTGCTGCAGTCATAGTATCAGTATAAAACACATTCACTATAATGAGAGGATCTGCATGCAAAGAAAGAGTTAAATAATAATGATGATGATATTGATACATATTTTACATATGTACACGAGTCCTTACATAAATAAATTCTGAACATCAAATGAAGATTTATACATAAAATGGTAGTCAATTAAAAAACTTCATGGCAAACATAGCAAGTAATATAAGGTACTTGTTTTCTATTTCAGATGATAAACCTCCTTGTAAAAAGAAGAACATGTCAGCCTGGACCAGCTGTTGGGAGAAGACTTTCAAGTAAGGACGGCATCTAGATCTGTGAGGGACCAGGCCAATGAAGAAGTCAAGAGGTACAGAGAGCGTGATCCTTTGCCCCTGAAAAAAAAAACACTACAGTGGTGGAAAGAGCAACAGGACTTGCCACTGCTGTCATCTATGGCTAAAATGTATCTGTGCATACCGGCCACCAGTGTGGCATCTGAGAGTTTTCAGCACTGCAGGAGATATTGTTTCCACAAAACGCAGTCTACTCAAACATGAGCATGTGGATCAGCTGATTTTCCTTAAGAAAAATCTGCTGCAAAAAAAAGATGAGGACAGTGATTATGATGAATAAAAATATAGGTAAACATACAAACATAAGGAAGTGAACTACTTCACTGTGTTTGAGTTCAGATTGAACCTGACGTGAATGTAGAAATGCAGGACATTACTTTTGTTTAGACTACCTCACCAGGTCAGAAAGCTGCACTTTGATTTCTTTTATACATGTAATCGGCACTTTGACTGTTGATATGTGCTGCTGATTATCCATGCTGCTGATCTGATCTCATGCTGCCATTTAAATGACATGATGTTATATTAATCTGTGCCCACCTGCTCACACAAACTCATGTTCGTGCTGCTGTTGTTAGGCGTACTGTTCTTGCATTATGTTTTTGTATTATTAAGTTCAAGTTCAAGTTGTGTTTATTTGTCATAAGCAAGGTTAACACAATGAAATGTTCAGGATGAGAAGAACCGATTTGACTTGTTAAAAAACAAAAAACAAGCAAACAAGAAATACTAAAGCATGCAATAAGGGTACAAAATAAACTACCAAAAAGTGAAAAATTAATTATAATATTTACAAAGTTTCTGAAGAGAAAAATGGTAAACAACACTGTAGAATTTTTACAGTGAAGCAGAATGAATTTGTGTGAATAAGTATTTCAAGGTAGTAATGTAATATAAGCTAAAATGCACATGATATATATTGCACATAACTACCAAACTACGCAGAGTATGTGACAGGTTATTGCACAGGTGCTTTGTGCTTACTGTAGCTTATTCATATTTTTTTAATTACATGCTGCTGTAATCATTTGTGCATTTTATAATTTTTCTTTATTTTCTCATTTTATATTGATCCCATCAAACAAATAAATGTTCTGTTAGCTGGTCTTTTTAGGTGCATGTCTAAAAATAAACACATTTGACATGTGATTCTGTTGTTCGGCTTTTTACTTTATTTTTGCCAGTGCCTTACTGCACAATTTTAGATATGATATATGTAGACTTTTACAAATTTAAAAATAATGTAAGAATGTCACATTTATAGAAATGGCCCTTTTTGTTCATAATGAAATATTTGTCTACATTCAACAAATGTTAAACTGTAGAATTATATAAAGTTGAATCGAATCGAACCGAATCGCTCTTCCACTGTATCGAATCGAATCAAATTGCTGTTTTTAAAATAAATCGTTTTTGAATGGAATCGTAACCTTTGTATCTAGATGCGAATCGAATCGTCTATCACACAGAGATGTACAACCCTAATACACATACATACACATACATACATACACATTTATACATACATACACATTTATACACACATACATACATACATACATATACATACACACATACATACATTTTTTTTCTCTTTCCATTAAGTAAGAAAATATATTTCTGAGTTAAAGCTTAGTCCTAAATGTCACATAGGCACCTTTATTAAAAAACTAACTGTACAAAATAAATGTCGAAAAAAATAAAATCAAGTTTTTCCTCCATAACAAACCAAAACCACAACTGTGCACTTAAAATTTAAACAGAACACATACAGAGCAAACATAATGACAGGCTGACTTGCTCTTTAAAAAGTCTGATTCTAATAAAAAGTCTGATTCTAATGAAGTAAATTCATTCAACTTTTAATAACCTTTATTAAAGCTGATAGAAAACCCACATTGTTGTGTAGTTGGCTTGTTTACTGAGCTCGGTTCTGTTTGGTTATGGCTTGTTTTTCTGAACTTCATGGTTCCTATGCTCTTGAATGCACCGTGGCTGTTCCGATGCTACTGAACACACCGCTCTGTGTCAAGTGCCATCCACTGGAATTTGCTCTCCCGACACTGACGGGAGCCTTGCTGTTTGAGCTTCTGTTTTTGCTTTACTGGTTACTGCTGTGTGTAAATACCAGAAGAACACAGCAAATAAAATCACCTTGATAAGCCAGATATTTGTCTTCGTGTTCTTAAATAGAAAGACAACCATTATACCTTGCAGCTCTAAACCAGTTAATTTCCTGGAGACCACCAAACATGTCCTTTGTAGCAGCTACCCAGTTATTTTCACACCCATCAGGAATTTACATCCTTGTTTACGTGGACACAAGTAATCGGATTAAACGGCCATTCAGAATAAAAAGGTGTCATGTAAACGCCCCATTTGGATTAATCTTTTTCGATTCAGCTCGATCCGAATGAATTTGTAATCAGAATGAGACGGGTGGTTTATGCCGACTCATAATCCAAACGGTGCACATGTAAACACAATCTGTTAATTTTATTCAGATTGAGGAAAACTGACCTGACTGCACATGTGCGACCGTCTACCTCACACATATCCACCTGGATAGATGCTAATAATATTAGCATGTCGGGGAAGTAAAACTGGTCGGTGAGTGACAACATTTCTGCTAGAAACTTGAAAGAGCTCAAAATGATCTGTATCACATGTAGCTCAGTCATGGAGTGCAGTAACGTCTCCAACGTCATTAAAACCTGTTGCGGGTCCATTTTGGGCGCTCAGATTCGTTTATGTTCATCCCAGAAGAAAACCAGAAGTAGAACTTCTTCTTCTGTGTTTTTTTACGGAGAGTTTACCACTCTGCACATGTCAGTACTTCTGTTCAGAACAAAGCCTGCTGCATGTAAACGCTCATCATGAACAGTTTGTGCCCATGTACATTTGAATTATTTAATCTGAAAACATTTCAATCCGGTCAAAGAATTTTGCACATGTAAACATAGCTCATGTCACCAGAGTGGCTCCACTGCGAGTCACCAAAGATCTATTGTGACAATTCATGTAGGATCTTACTGTTTTTCTTTACAATTTGTATTATTGTTGGATGCAACTGGGACCCTGTGTACATAGTTTCGTTCCACCTCATGTACCACATGTGATGAGAATGACTAAGAATCATTGAATCCATATCTGCATATGCATCTAGCTTGCTCACAGTGGGAGACAGTTTTACACAGCAGGAGGCGGGGGAGTGGGTGAGGGGCTGGGTTTGTATTGGGGGGCTATGTGAAGTCGCAGACTGGGAGAAAAACAGGCAGATTTTCAAGTATAATTATAACTATGTAGTCAATTGTTTTATATCGATAGTCTCAATTCATATCGCATATGAACTTGTATCAATATTTAAAAAATATTGAGATATCGCCCAACCCTAATACATATGTTGTTAAAATGATGTAGGTTTAAGAGTTTAGAACAATGTAAGAATGTGGGAAGGGGTTCTAAAGTCTTAAAATATCTAAATATTAAAATAAATATAACGTTCCTACTTCGTGGTTTTTCACTTATTGTGTGTGTTTGGAGATCCGGAATGTAACCCACGATAAACGAAGGACAAGATATTAGTTATTACTTCCTTACTGGTGTCAAGTCATCTGGTTTGATTTGATAAATGTCACTTTTACAAACATCTACACAAATCTTCTTTCAGCTTTTTCAACTACCTCCACGTCCTCTCTAACTTCATCCAAATGCCTCCTCTTTGTCTTTGTCCTGGCAGCTGCATTTCTAACATCCTTCTACCAATATACCCACTGTCCCTCCTCTGGACATGTCCAAACCACTGTTCCTCTTCTGGACATGTCCAAACCACTGTCCCTCCTCTGGACATATCCCAAACATCTCAGTGTGTCCTCTCTAACTTTATCTCCCAGTTGTTCAACCTGTACTGTACCTCTGATGATCTCATTCCTAATCTTTCTCCATCTTTGTCACTCCTAAGGAGAACCTCTACATCTTAATTTCTGACACTTCCAGTTCTGTCTCCTGTCTTTTTGTCCATGCCTCTGTCTCCAGACCATACAACATAGATGGTCTCACCACTGTCTTGTCTTTGACCTTTGCGGACACCTTTTTGTCACAAATCACGCCTGAAACGTTTCTCCATCACTCCATCCTGCCTGGACTCTCTTCTTCACCTCTTTATCACACTCCCCGTTTTCCTGAACAGTGGACCCCAATTCCTTGAAGTCCTGCACCTTTGGGACCTCTGCTCCTTGTAGCCCAACAAACATCTACTCAAACAAATATATAAAATACTACAGTGGTGAGTTCTGGAGATGCTTACATTCATAGCAGCCATGTCACTTTCATACGATTCCCTGATTTTCTTCATCACCTCCTGCTCAGCACTTGAGCATGCTTCGATGGAGCCCTTCAACGTGATGGTCCGCTCTGGGTTGTACAGAGTGAGATCCTGGAGACTGCACCAAACAAAATTAAATAAAATTGCCACTTTTAGAACTTGCTACGTAAAAGGGAGAAAATGTTCCATTGAGTGGCTTACGGTGAGATTGTGATCTTGGTCCCTGTGTCCTCCTCAATTTTCTTCAGGTTGCGTCCTTCTTTCCCTATTAGCCGTCCTACAAAGTTGTTGTGCGCAAGAATCTTCAGTGGGATCTCCTCAGTGCTGTACAAGATGGATAAAATGGAAAAAATGGCATCATAGAATTTCACAAGTATCAGAGTGAAAACCAAAGTAACTGAAGCAAACGGCACGTTTAACGTTTCAGCACGAACTCACAACTTTGTGTCGACAGCTTCCTTCTGCATGATCTCCATGATGGTTCTGCAAGCGTTCGAGCAGCCTTCAGGGGTGGAATGAATTGTGATGGGTTTTTCTGCAGCACCTGCATTCTCTTTCCTATGGATGTCAATTCTGTTACAAAAATAAAATGAAAAACAAAAGTGACCAATCAGCAGATCTTAAAATGACGAGGAAAAAACAGCGTTTTAAACGAGCATTCAGTTGATTTCCTGACCTCCATGTACGTACTTTGAGTGAGTCTGTTTGGTGATGTTGCGGATAGTGGCGCCCTCCTTGCCAATGATTGCCCCTACAAACTGCGTGGGCACCAGCATGCGCAGAGGGATGTCAGACTGCACTTTGGGCCGTGCACCCAGGCCAGGAGAACCCGAACGAGGAGGACCACGGGCATTAAAAGTTCTCCTGCCTCCTGTTGTAGAACCTTCTGGTGTAGCCGTCTCATCTGGGATATAGGATACCTTCAAGGCATAGTTCTCCATCATAGATCCATTCAGCTTCTCCATTGCACTGAGGAAAGACATTTTAACTCACTGTAAACATTCACTGACCTCAATGTTGCATTCCCATCTTGACATATTCCTCCTAATCTGTTTTTCTGTAAAAGAAATGTACCCTTAAACTAATGTAATTTGAGTTATGTACACCAGGGGGCACCCAATGGTTAAATTAAACCCTTTCCTATACAATGCACTAAACAAGCACCCCTCCCCCTTCAGTTGTCACTGAACACTGAATTCACTTAGAATGGATCAACAGAAAAACTGGTAAATTTCTAACAAAAAACCAACGATAAAACAAAAGTCATGTGCTATGCTACAATGACAATAGCCAAAAACTGTAAATAAAGCACACTGAAATCAAAAACTTGGAGACAAACTTGATACTCACAGCCTTGCCTGGTCCTTAGACGCATATCGAACATTGACTACTGCTGTTTCTGTGTCGGTGTTTACTAAGAAAGAACAAACAGAGCGTTTATGCATACTCAAAACTCATTTATAAATGAAAATTAGCTGGTTTAGCATTAAAGGGGAAAACACTTTTTGAAATAAATGCACACAGTATGACCTCAAAACATTTCATGTTCCTTAACTTTAATTAGCGTCAAATCATTTATATACTTTTGCTCATGCAGGACCAGAGTACTCAAATTGCTGGTTAGACTTTTTACATGGCAGGAACTAAAAATGCTAGGGGTACACTGACTGCAGTTTTCTGGCCGATCACCAGTTTCTACAAAGTCTGACCTGCTGATTCTGATTTTGTTTTTTTAAAGCAACACTGTCAGGTGTTATAAGGTCACAATGCACCTTCAATTGTCCAAAATTATTTTATGGAAAAACGTATCTTGAACAATATCCTAGAAACAATACAAACTTGTTTTAACGGGCCATGAGATAGAGCTCTGAAATATAAATAAAGTTCAGTTGTTAAAACTAAAAAAATAAAAATAAAAATTGGTTAAAATCGGTTTCTCATGTATTGGCCGATCTCCCAAAATTAAGAAAATTGGGACCGATAAATCGGCACCACTAAAAAAATGCTAAAAAAAATATGAATTTCAGGTTGACATTACAATAAAGAACAAGTAGGAAACTAAGCACAAGGAGTCATTTTCTTCCAACAAACAGATCTGGGATATTTATTTGTTACACCACAAAATCTTACTGATAAATCCTCAAGTGCCCAGAGAGCCAAAGCTACAAGCTGTTTGATCAATAAAGTTTCAAGTGACATTTGTGAACTAAGTACACAATGCAACAGTTAAATCAGGTTTACCAAAGCAATCCCTTGCCCATCTGATCAAATAAGCTATAAATGAATTTTTTTTTTTTTTTTTTGCAGCCCAAATTTTTTTAGATTACAGCTCACAGGTGACCGCTTAGATTTATGGCCTTGTTCTTCGCACAATGAAATCTTTAATTTTATATACATCGTAACAGTGCAATGACTCATTTGTTGAGAATCTAAAATATTTCTGCTCATTTTGTCTGCAAATTTTCAGGCTAAAAATGCCGATTACAATCACCCATTATCTTTAAAATGACTTTTCTTACCAACCCTAGACTGCAACTATGCAAAGGTCTGATTGGTTTTAGGCCTTGTAGACATTTATTATACAACAGCCACAGCCTGTAGAAGTTACAGAGGCATGACAGCAGCTGCATTCCTAACTTGAGACCAAAATACAGGCTGGAAAACTGAATGAAAATTGTGAACTTGCTGCAAACTTTAAAATGTGTGAATAGGATAGGTGGAAAAAATTAATTTGTTAGTATTAAAATGTTCTTTTGTGCTTTGAGAGATAAAGGAAGCAAAGTGGTAAGAAAATAAAATTGAAGGCCTTAAATGCAAAAAATTTGTTTTCAATTAAAAAAAGCTGAGGTTAAACAAAAAATATAATATTGTTTGCAATGTAAAAATACACAATTGAATGCAATAATTAGTTTAAAATGTATGTTCAACAACACATTTTTAAGGAAATGCTAATTACATTAAAAGCAATAAATGCAACAAGTCTGACCTGATGATTTACCTTGTTCACAGCTCTCGACTGCACCATACTGAGCAAGCATACCGTCCAAAACCTGCAGAAAACATGAATCCTTTCACTTGTTTTCTACACGAGTCAAACCAGGTTCTTTTTAACTCAATGACTTTGTAAATATTTGTTAAGACTTTCTACCAAGCACTAAACTTTGAATTATACCAACAAAAAACAAAACAAAAAAAAAATTATATCTCATATACAT